ATCTTTGTTTAAAGTATAAACTATCATCTCTTGTTTTACCGAACTGCCTCAGAGAGAAGGGTATAGTTTCTTACAGATTAAGGAATTATACTTACCTCTTGGACACCGCTATAAACCTGTAAAGGATCCCTGTAGCTGTGTTGTTGTTATAGTACCGCTGTTAAGAAGGCCATGGTACTGTAACATTAGTCTTCTAAGTAATCTTATTCAAAATGCCAACCTTAGTAAGCTCTGAACCTGATTCTATTGATCTGGACTATTTTTATAAAAAATTTACAAAAAGTTTTGGCATTGGAATCTATGAAGATATGTCAGAAATATTACGTCCAATACTTGCAAATAAACAATCTAATAATTGTATTATCACAGAACTTAGAGGCAGTATCAAATCTGTTATTATATTCAAGCACCTGCTATTAATGCTACAGCTATCTATCTATATGGTAAATACTATACAAACTTTCATTCAAACAAAAATCTTACTTACAAACAACATTCAAGTACCAATGTTATTAAAAGACCAAAAGATAAAAAACTATTTATAACAAATACCATTAACTCTACAAATGTCATCTCACCATCTTCTACTTCATCACCTTCATCATCTTTATATCAACACACTTGCCCTAAATGCAATCAATTTATCAATTATAAAGTTATTAATAATAGATATTATCTAGCTGCTAATGCTAAACTTTTTAATGACAAACCCTGTCACAAATCTTGTCTTGAAACTAAACCTAAGTCTGAAGCCAGCAAACAACCTATTATCAACCCAAAACAAGGACCTTTCCAAACACCTTCACTCCATGAACTCGAACAATCACTCAACATATTTTATACCAATAATCCACTCATTTCTGAACTCAATCTCCTCACTTCTATTGCTGAAAAAATAGTAAATAATATAACAACTGATACTACTGTCATGAATATTAATAACTCTAATCTATCTGATAATAACTAATAGCAACAACAATAAGAAAAACAACAACAACAAAAAACATCTAAGCAATCTAAACAATAACAACAACAACAAGAGACATCTAAGCAATCTAAACAACAACAATAACAAAAATTATATGAACAACTAAAACAGTCCTATAGCCAAGCTGCAAAACCTAAACTCAATCTATTATTTGATTAGTTAGCAAACTTTTCAGTCACTAAAGAAATAAAAGACAACACTAAACTTCAAACAAATATTTCACAAAAACTATTTAACTTTCTTAAAGAACATCTATATAATTTCTTTCCAGAAAAGATTATTAAAGAAGCAACAGAAAACTATTCTGCACTCAAATCTAGCTTTTACCTACTTATTCGACAAATGGCTAGTATCAAACCCAAATTTTTAATAGACTTAATCCAACAACATAATTCTACAAATAACCAATCTGCCACAATATCTTTTAATATCTATGAAAAAATTCTCAAAAAACTCATGCTTACATTTACTACTGTACTCTTCACCAAACTTAACTACTCAAAAATTTTTGCTTCACCTGCCACTATTCTACCTCTTAAAACTGAAAATCATCTACAATTCTATATTAATTTAGTTTGCCTTCATCTATACTTATCTAACAATTATCAAACCATTAATTATACAAAATTTGCAAAAGACATTAAACTTAAACTAAAAAGATTTAAAATATCATCAAAAGTTACTGGATATGACAAAAATGAAAAATATCTCTTGATTAATATAGATATTCGATTCAATATTCAACTAGAATTTAATATTTCTAAAATCTTATTTATAAACAAATACAACATTTCTTTTTTAAAAAACTTACTTTTCTATTTTAATGAATGGTTTGAAAAAGCTTTTCTACTATACAGTAAACAATTCTTAAATACTATCAACAAAACCAAAGTATCTAATTACTTTAAATACCAATTCAGACAACATTTCATTTCTTATCATAAAAACTTCTGCCTAGTACTCATGAATTTGCAGAACTACATAATCTACAAAAAATATGATATGAAACATTTAAACAAGTTAACTACTATATACTTACCTGCACAGACCCTAAATGTTCTTATCTCTTAACTACTGAAACACCAAAAGAAAAGAAAAAAGAAATATTCACAAACTTAAAACCCAATACTGAATCATATTTACAACATAATACATCTGTACTTACCAAATACACTTTTGATAACTCTTACCAAAAATATCCCAAAAAAGATAATTAATCATAGAACGAACTCTATCTTGATTCATCTGTTTTTTATACTAAAGGCAAACATGAAGCTACATTTCAAAAACAAATTCCTATTATTGTACTTGATGAATTAGTAGCAAAAGCAGAAGAATATATCTGCTCTGCCAATACTGTTAAAACTAATCCTAAACAATGTGGCTTCTATTTCTACCAATATTTATCAATCTACCAAAACACTGCTATCCAAAACTACAAATATAGATAAAATGAACAAACAACAAGCAATTGACTTTATTACAACTAAGCTTATTGATACTAACTTTCTTGCACGAGTAATCACCTATTTTGACTACACATATGGTAACTCACCAAACTATTCAGAGATCACTAAATTCTACAAAGAAAAAGCCCTTCTTGAAGCTGAAACTATTCTATATAATAAATTCAACATCAAATTCGAAATCCCTACTGCTATAAAAGAATCCCTTTTTCTAAAAGAAGAGGAACAGCCAGACTCTTTTTTACTAAAATTGTCTTCTACACAATTTATAAATGCAGCCACCACCTTATCAAAAGAAACTACTAGAGTATTTGATAAGAAAGATGATGTAAGAAGACAGTTAGGAAAGCCTATTTACATAGAGAACCAAGCAAATGACAGTCAGACTTAATGCACAGAGCAGACTATGAAACTCTTCGCAGCTGTGAGAGCTGAGCTTCAAACAGTAAGCATCTTAGTAGAAGCCAAATACTCATTCTTAGAGACCACCCTACCACATAACTCTGAGAATTACAATATAAATTCCAAAAAAATTAATTACAAACCCTTACATACCTACAACTCTAAAGTCTGTTACAACAAATTCCTTGCATACTTCAATCTATCTCTAATCCTAAAGACCAAACTATTGGTTCTTTTCTTCAATACCTTTAACAACATAATCTTATACATTATGCTATCTTTTCTATTAATGCTAATATTAGTAAAGCCTATATCTATCTACTCTCCAAATTGCACTTATTACCAGAACATACTTTTATTAGTCAAAAGCTTCTACACCAGTACCTTGACACTCCTCTTAAATCTCAAATACACAAAACACTTAATTTCAACATTGCTATCTACAATATTCAAGGTTTTAATGATATAGAAAAGAAACTTCTATTAGAAGAATATTGTTTTCAAAACAATTTACAAATAATATGCTTAACTGAAACCAAAATAGCAAAAACTAAAAACAAAAAATTCTACAACAACCAACATTTCACTTACTATTGGTCAAACAGCTCTACATCTAAAGAGAATACATGCATCCTATCTATAATAACTTGTAACTACATATTCACAATATACTTAATTACTCAAGAGAAGCTATTGCAATAGATTTGTTCTTCAAACATGATTACAAGTTCAGAATCATCTCAACTTACCTCTCATTTACCAACAATCTAACATGACAGCAAACATAATTAACCATCATTACATGGATACAACAAGCCTTACAGCAACAATTACACATCATTGTCCTTGGTGATTTTAATTCAACTACTCTAACTACTATCTCTAATGCAACCAAATATCAACTTCTTAACTATCTTTACAGCACAAATATGTATGACCTGGCTAGCCATACTAACAATACTGACATTACTTAGCAAAGTAGTAGATATCAAAGCAGAATTGACTACATATAGGCTAGTAAACACATAGTCTCTTTTCTTAACAAATTTTATCTAGATGACTCATCAAAAGCTACTAATAGTAACTATTAAATTTTAATATCACAATGGACATTTTCTTTTGCACTTAAATCCAGACAAAAAAACAAATGCAAAAGAAGAACTTTTAATTATCAAGTAATAACAAAAGAGAAATAGGAAGAATTTATTAATCAAATTAACACTAATATGCAAAACAACAACATTAACTCAATTACACTAGAAATGAACATATTAAAAAAACTTTAACACAAAATATACATATCTGTTATAAATGCCACTCTCCAATATATACCTAACAAAAAATATACTATAAAACACTTTTTTTACACCTTTTTACCCAAAGCAACAGCTTTTTATAAAGACCTCAAACAAATTGATAGCATTATCAACAATATTAAAAATTTATTCAAATACCATTAACCAATTACTAATACTATTATTAACCAAACCTATAATATTAACCAAAAATATGATTTTGACATACAAAACTCTTCTTTAGACCTCCAATTATTACCACAATGGATCTCTCAAATAAAACAATCATAGAAAGCTATATATTATGCTAGAAGCTTAGAAAACTCTCAACACCTTTGTTAACATATTAACAAAGCAATTAACAACAGATGCAAATGACTACTAACTTAACCAACTAAAATGATCAATAGCATCCTTAATCGACATACTGATCCAGTAATTCTTTATAACATTAAAACAGAAAATAAAGTCATAACTGACCCTTTAACTATACTTTCATATGTAAAACAATACTTCTACTAATAGACAAAACACCAACCTTATCAAATTGAGACATTTAACTTGCATTGAACTAATGAATATCAACCTAAAACTTTTATTAATATGAACTAGTACATTCCACTTTTATAACCAATTACTACAGGGGTGTGGTGACCTAGTGAAGTGGATAGGTTGTTAACCCCCAAGTGGCAGGTCTAGAGTTCAAATCCTAGTGACAGCAAAAATTTGCAATTCTTTCTGTATTATGGCTAACTGTTTTCTGTGATTGGTTAGAATAGGATACTTGTAATCTGTGTCATACCAGCATGACTGGAAGGTCTAGACACTTATACAACATTGTACAAAAGAACACAAACTGGTACCAAGTGGTGTAAACCCAAGATAAGTTTTTAGACCATGTAAATCACAAGAACCAGGTAGGAAGATAGAAGTCTACTTGAAAAACCCAAGTAGAGAGGTAACCCGAACCTTTAATAGTGCTACTATAAAGACTAGACTTATGAAACAGAACTAGAACTTGTGAAACTAGGCAAATGTGCTGGTCTTTAAGGAGGGACTGGATGAACCAACCAGGCCACCAGAATTTCTAAGTTTCAGAGAAAAAGGGCACATGCCAGCAAACATGTGAACCAGAGGTGTATGGTTTCGACCTACCTTTTCAGGCTATCTGGAATGGCAGCTTGGTGGAACTTGAATTGAATACCAAAGTAGTAAGGATATGTTGTGAAGTTAGTATTAGGATTGGGGTGAACTCTACAAAAGCATAGCGGTTTAATAGTATGTTCTGACCATCAGTGTTGGTCTTAGCCATAATGATATCACAGAAGATTCTGGAAGGTTTAGTACAAGGTCAAAGGTTCCTCATTTGAGTGAACTGCTTTAAAGACTTAGTGGCCATGGCATATTTTCACCAGTATCAGCCAGGGTCATTAGTAGGCAGAGGTAGGTGGATAGATATAGAAACAGAGTAGTTAAATAAGGAACCTACAAGCAGGTTTCAGGTATAGCAGCTAGTGTAGAACCTTCAGGCAGGCTACTTAAATTAGACAATGACTAAAGTTGTACAAATGGCTAGTTGTACACTCTTCCTATAGTTGCCTCCTGTAGTTGTAAAGCATCCATTAGCCAAATATACTACTAATAAAATCCTAGGTCGCAAGTACTCACCTTAATAGTAAAAAAAAAAAACAACTAATTACTACAGAAGAAGTTTTACATACTATTAAACAACTGCCTAATAACAAACATATGTATCTTTTGAAATAAGTTATAAAATGCTTAAACATTGTGGACTATACATGCTATATACAATTACATATCTATTTAACAAATGTCTTAATACAAATAATATTTCTAAACAATAGAAAAACAGTAAAATCTACGCAATATTAAAAAAGCCACACTTTGATGAAAACCTTAACAAAACACATTTTATCAGCTTGATAGAATATACCAAAAAACTATATACAAAAATACTAACAAACAGACTCTTATCTATTCTATTAAAACATCTAATACTCAACCTCCACTACTATGTTGTGCTGCCTGACAATAGTACAAATACTTCTATATATATACTTAACAACTTTATCGAAGACACAACATGTAACAAAAAACCACTCTGGCTCTTATCACAAGATATGAGCAAAGCTTATGACTCTGTTAATATCACTCTTATGGAAAAAGCCTTACATAGAATCAAACTTCCTTCATTCATTGTCCTTACAATTATCAACTTCTATCTTTATATACTAATCAAGTTATTATCAATTTTGGTCTAACACCTATATATGTAGTAGAAGATGAAATTGACCAAGAAGAAACCATCACTCTCCTTCAATAGAGAATATACTACAACCTATTAATCCACCATATTCATACAAAATTCAAAGAATACACTACTGTCTCAACAAGAATAATCTTACTATTTTCTCTTTAACATCAACAAATACAAGCTAATATTTCTATTCTTTCCTATATAGATGATATATTGTGGATTGCAGACTTTTAACAACAACTTCAAAATATTCTCGATGCAGCTTCGACATTTTACCAGATGGCTAACATCAAAGTTAACCCAAACAAATCTATCTTAATATCTAACATAAAACTTATACCTACATTCAACTTTATGAACACTGTCAGACAAATGCAGCCTTACAATACATCTTTAAAGTTTTTAGGATGCTGGTACACAGCAACTAATACACAATCCATCATATCTAAAATAATTATACAAGAAACATTAGAACTAACTAACATTATACAAACTAAACAAATAACAAACAAACAAACTAGTTATGTTATTAATAATGTTAGTATATCTATTTTTGAATATCAAATATATAATATAATTATATCTTTCAACATATGTAACAAGATCCTGTCAAAATACCTTATTGTAGCCAAACACAAATCCAAACTTCTAGTCACTACTCCCAATAGTGCAATGCTTAACTACAACATATATGAAATTAAGAATGTATAGAACATATAGCTATAACATCATATCAGCAATTTTCTTCTTCAACTAAACAAAACAAACCTACTTGG